TACCCCTGACAGCAAAAAGGCCAATTGGCCGCCTCCATGGCCGCATGTACGCAAATCACCAAGGAGTTTTACCAGACTCTCTTTACCTTTGAATGTAACCACGTGCCTCAGGCTCAGAGAGTCCCTCTAACCAAATCCCTCACAGACCAGCAATGAGATATGTTAGACAAACCCCTCTCCAAGGAGAAAGTATGGCAATCCTCATGCTCATGGAGGAGGAAAAGACCCCTGGTCTTTCCAAAGGATTTTAGGAGATGCTATGGGCCTCTCTCTCTCAAGAGCTAATGGACTTCTACCATGCTGTCTGGGGATCCAGGCAAATAGGGGAGTTTGTGGGGCATAGGGTGCTGACCCTACTCTACAAAAAGGGGGAGAAAACTTGTATCTGAAACTACTGGCCCATCACACTTCTCAACTCCTTGCAACGACAAGTAGCCACTTATCTCTAGCGTGATAACCACAAATGCAGCAACGTGATCACCCGCATGGCATGGCACTCCGTGATTCAACCTAAGCCCAGGAGGTTTAGGCATCATCAACCCAACCACATAGGCCAGGGTATTGGCCATGCAAAATGGATAAAGTGTCTGCTCTTCAGCTATCAAACCCCATGGACAGCGCTGGCCCTAGAGCAGATTGCAAGACTTGCGCCCACATTCCCACCGGGTACTGACCCATGATGCGGTTGGATAATAGGTCTTGGCCAATCCCGCAGGGGCAAGCCCAATTGCCTGCCCACCTGCAGGCTCCCGACTGCCAGGCAGCACAGGCCAACCTACGTAAGGATCCTTTCTGGCCCAACCTTCTGAGAATCTGGTGCCGGCTGCCCCTGCCTGATAAAGTGCCCCACGAACGATGGGAAGAGGTCTGTCAACAACCCCTTTTCGACAACACCTGGATAACTGACTCCCACGGCCAGGTGCTGCACTGCATGGACTCCCCATTGCGGGGGTTGGGTTAAAAAAGGTATCCTCAGAGTGGGGGACCTCCGGGACCAGGCTCCAAGGATTGGTGCTCCCCCTCAAATATCAAATCCCAGCTCCACTACTGCCACCAGGCCCACCACCCACCCACGGTGCTTGAATTGTTGATCGAGATGATCCCCTTGGACTGGACCCGAATCCCCTGCTAGGGCCCCTACTTACAATCGAGCGAGTGGGTAGCCACAAGGGACCAGCCCCGCATGACAAACAATATGGTGGACAACCCCCCCCGATGGGGAGATCTTTCTTAATCTGTTTGGGCTGAGATACAACAACACACTGTATAGAAAACAAGATGGTTCCAAGGCAACCAGCTGTTCAAGGTCAGGGTCCTGCAGCAGAAAGACCAATGGCTAGCAGCATTCAAACCGGACACACCAGTCTCTCAGCTGGCCCTGGACCTGGCTAGCTGGATCTGGGCGGACCCTCTGGGATTTGGAAGGACCTGCACCTGTTCGCTACACACCCTGTCGATGAAGTCCACATACAGATGCTCAGACCTAGGGTCAACCTCCAAGACCAGGTGGAGGCCAACTGGAGGAGGCACCTCAACATCAGCAAAGAAGCCCTACGCCCAATCAGGTGGTTTCAC